GTCATTTATAGTATAGTAATTAATATATAATATGTAGTATTTAAGTGTTATATTATGGAATTTGAGAAGTTATTGAAATTTTTATATGATTTTAAAAATATTTTAAATTTTTAGCTATTGTGATTTGTAATACTTTTTTTTTTACATAATTTTGAAAATAATATTTATTACTTTGTTTGTTCTAATTTATGTGGCACACGCAGAATTTCAAATATTAACCATTTTTTATATGTCTCTTTAATATATTAAGTTGTTAATTATTGTATTTTATAGTACATTTTGAACCTAATTTTTTAATAATATATGTTATTTTCCATGTCCCAATTTATGTGGCATTAATTGATAGATTTGTTGGAGTCGAGAGATTTATTTTGTTAATTATTGTAATTTATAGTTTCTTTTTCGTCAATTTCAAACAATATATGTTGTTAATTAATAGATTTTTTGGAGTGGACTATTTTTTTATTAATTATTGTAATTTATTGTTTCTTTTTCGTCAATTTCAAACAATATATGTTTATTATATAATCCATTTTATGTGGTACCAATAGAATTTAGAGAGTCAATTAAATTTTTTATATAAGTTTTAAATAATTAAGCTGTTAATTATTGTAATGTACAGTATTACTTATATTATTTTTAAATATATTTAAATATTATATCTTAGGTTTTTTATCCTAACTTATATGGCATTGATAGAATTTAAAGTGTCAAATAATTGTTAATTATTGTAATAGATAATATGGAGTATTTAAGTCATTTATAGTATAATAATTAATATATAATATGTAGTATTTAAGTGGAAGGTGGTGGGGCCCACTTATATAGTTTGTTAAATATATTGGATATTAATAGTGATTTATAGTATAGTAATTAATAATATATAATATGTAGTATTTAAGTGGAAGGTGGTGGGGCCCACTTATATATTTTATAAATATATTGGACATTAGTAGTGATCTTATTGGCACAATGATAGTCATTCCTAGAGTCTTCTATAATATATATAGTAAAGCTTGTATTGGTATTTTCCTAATTAGCTTCCTACATTTTATAGTTTTATTGTTAACCTTTATTATGTATTTTATTTGTGGATGTCCCTATATTTCTTATTCTATGCAGTTATAAAGTTTCTTTTTAAGGGCTCTTCTTCTCTTGAGGTGGTAGCAAATATCGAAAAAATCATATCGAATTGTATTAATCTGGTTCTTTGGTTTTTTGATTTGGGGTTGGTGTTGGCTTTTCAAAAGTTCAGTTCTTCAATTGGGTGTTCGGTATAAGAGTTTCAAAACTTTGGTGCACTGAAAAACTGAACTTTTATTAAATAAATAAATACATATATATTATTTATTTATTTATTTATGGAAATTTCCTTTAACTAAAAATAAAAAGTTAACTAGCAATTTACTCATTCATGAACAAATTAAAGTAGCAACAAATTTACAATTCAATAATTAACTTCAAATATCAATTTCCAAGAAGAAATCCAAACGTATTTCATTTGTCGATGTACGTCAGGTAAAGGAATCTGTTTTCGTCCTTGTTTTTTTCGAGAAGTAGTTGGAGGCGCAATGTTCTTTACAAAGACAAATGTATATAGTCTTTTAATTAGCCCAATAAATATTCGGCGGTGAGACACATAATTTGGATATGTAGCATGGTAAAATGGGTAAAATTATAATTATTCGCTTGATTTAATCCATTTTAAATGGATTGGTCATTCAATCATTTAAAAGTGGGTTAAATATGAATCTAACACATATTATCCATCATAAAATATGGATAGTCCATAGGTATTCCCCAATTGCACTCTCCTTAAGTATGTAAGGGTGTAGGAGCATTTTAAAAAATTACACTTATTGAGAGGTGTGTTTGATACGAAGAAAAGTCTATTTGAAAAATAATTTTTAATTTTTTTTATGTTTGATTGACTTAAATGTTTTGAAAAATATTTTTAAAATAAACTTATTTTCTCTCTAATTTAAGAAAAATGGTTTCCATACATAAGTAGGGACCTTTTTATTCAAATATTTTCTTAAACCTCACCACTCGAAATGGATCCAATCCTTAGATCCGACTTCCAACTTTAACCTAACCCAACACCAAATTATGAGAATAAGAAAAAAAATCTTATAATTTGAATGTACTTATTTCTTTGCATGATAAAAATCAATAGAAAATATGATTAATATAGATACTATTTTTATTCATATGGATATGAAATGTAGATTGAGTCGAATATTTTATCTATTTTCACTTTTAACACAATTTTATTTAGGGGTGTGTTTCGGTCGGTTCGGTTTATTAATTTTTAAATATGCTAAACCGATAACCAAAGCAATAAGATATTTGTTATCGGTTTTCGGTTTACCCAATAAGAAAATGCTTTCAATATAAATATATGACTTGTTCAACAATTTAACACGAAATAAAAAAGAGAGAAATCTAATTACTCGTTGAGTGCAACAATTCTTCTAAGTGTAGTAAAAGTATAACAAATACTCACAATTCACAACCCTAGTCATTGCCTAACCCTTGTCGTCGTCGTTGCAAACCCTAGACGTTGTCGTTCTTAGTTCTTTAGGTTTTTGACGTTGTGAACCTAAAGACTAAAGTAATACTAAAACCTAAATGGTAAATGCAGAGAGCAAGTTAATTAAGTAATGTTAGTTGTATAGGTCCTTATAGTTATAGTCTAATATAGTGATTATACTAATATTGTTTGTTTAATATTTATGTATGACTAAAAATTAAAATAGTAATTTATTATATTCTTAATGGTTATCAGTTAACCCAATAAATCAATATTAAAAAATTAATATCAAACCAATAACCCAATAACCCAATAACCCAATAATAATAAATCAATAACACATTTTTCTGTTTCATTCATTGGTCGGTTCGGTTTTCTGCACACCCCTAGACTTTTACCTTAACTCATATCCAATCCACCCGGTCCTTTGTCGTCACTACTTAAATAGTTTTTTCCTTCTTTATTTTTCAGCCTGCCTCTGCCATTGATAACAACACACATAGAGAACCAGCTTCTTTCTCGTCATCTCAACTCCAAAATAGCAGCGAAAAAGCTAAGCTCAATCAGCAATCAACGCAAGTTCTAAGTCGATTGAGGTGAGATTTCCATAATATTGTCTTATGTTCATCCAGTTATAGTGTTCTATTTGCTTAGAAGCTATTGTTTCATACACCCACCTCCTTAAGTGAGAACTAGATTATTAGACTTAATGATAATTTGGCGAAACATATTTGCAAGTGGGTTGTAATGGGTGTGTTTAATATGCACGTTAGGTGTTCGATGAAATTCCTCTGCCATGGATTGGACCACTTTGACGGGCAGCATATTTATGTAGGTGTTAGATGAAAAGGTTGAACACATTGTTAGGTAGAGATTAAATATCTTTTCTATGCTCTATGTCTCTACTGGACTGGGGTGCAGTAGTAGCCATTTGATCATGTATGAGTGAAGTGAAGGAAACCCATTTTCTATGCTGTTAAGTAGGATCAATATTCTAATTCAGGGGTTGATGAGAAGGTGTGCAGTCCTTCATTAGTCTGTCTAGTTCGGGGGAGAAGTGGAACAGAAGGATTTAAGGAAGGCAAGTACGAGGTAAATAGGATGTGCTTTACAATCTCTATAGATCTGGTTGTAAAGAGGACACTTTCTTTTTAGTTTCCAACTTGCCATTAGGTCACAACAAGCATTATCTGGGGGGTGGGGGGGTGGGGTGGAGGAGGGATAATAATTTTCTATGGAACAAAATTATAGGCCCCTTCTCATTTTTGCTCCTCCCTTGTATTTCCTTTTGTGAATCAAATGTTTTGCAGGTTATCTGTGTCCTTTATGTACTGAGCATGCTAGCTAATCATCCGACTACAAAGTAGTTTTTTATGAATTGGTTCCTAGACATTTGAAGATTCTACATTTTGAATTTTAATGACTGTTGTGAATGAATGAGTCTAGGATATGATGAGTTGTCTTGCTATGGATGTTGTTTGGAAGATTTTGAGAAGTAGAAGAAAGGAGGGCTTGAGCGTCAAAGAGGTAGTTAGCAGGCGAAAGTGGATGAAAGATATGATTTAATGCCATCCTCCTTAGGATTTAGTACCGAGTCTGTTGGCAACTTTAATTTTGTGTCATCTATCGAATTTATATAGTTTTCAAGATACAGGAATACTCGGGTTACCTCTCCTATGTGGGTTGCGAGCTATTGCATAGGAGCAGGCGTTTTACCTTATGGCGCACCCAAAGGGTAGCGGCTGCGGGATTCCCTTGTCATAAAAATAAATAAATACAGGAATACTTCCTTAGAATGGTCAACCTGGTTTCAAATTGTTAGATTCAGTTAAAGACCATGAATATTTGGCACAAAAGTTTCTTCAATTAAAAGGTAGACGACAAGCATAACTGCATTTGCATTTAGGACAGGAACACTGTTTGCAGATTTAATCACCTTCTTTACATATCCCCAACTGTTCACTCCTGTTGTAGATCAAATCTTTTCTGCTGGTTGTATAAGTAGAAATGATCTATTGCATCTTTGATAAATGACACAGTTGCTTACATGAGTTCGAATGGTAAATCATTGAGGGAACAACGATTCCATTTTGTTTGCTGCTTTCAGAGTTTTAGGATGAAACTATATACTATGAACAGTTGATACCATGTCTTCTAGTGATTTGTAGAATTGTGAGCGGGTTCTCAAATTTTCCCCACTTGGGGGAAAGAAAGAAAAATGGGTTACAGAACGGCATACTGTGAGAATATTCTCCATTCTTCTGAAAAATGGAATCCTAAATTGTATTAGTTCTCCCAATGCTAAAGCCATACCTCAGTTTATCTATTTTCTTATTTTTTCCAGTTTATTGAGGACTTTGGTTCTGAGTTATGACCTACTATGGATCCTTATCTCACCAGTCAGCTTGTATACCTATAATATTTGTCAATTTAACTCATCCTTCGAAGACTTCTGTATGCAGGTGGACTGATTCTTGGTCAGCTCCGGTATCACGTTAATATTTGACCCTTCAAAATTCTGAAACTTGGAGATATTGGATGCATACATTTTATATTTGAAGTTTATGGATGACCTTACTGAACAGCCTCTTCCACCTGGGGTTCTTTCTACGTCATATTCTTCACCACTTGTGCCAACTTTGAATCCTGCTGGACATTTGCCCCAGTCCTTTCAGAGAACTGCTAATTTTCATTACCATGCTGGCAATGGCGATGGAAATCTTTTCCCTGTGGTTGCTTCTGTTCAACCTTGCTCTGAATCTTTTCAGACCTCTGAACATGAGTCTTCTGAGGCTATACTCAATACTTTACAGCCACAAAGTGCTAATGATCTTGAGAGTGCTGCTCAGAATGCTGTTTTGCATGAACAGGTTTGTTGTACCCTTTTGATAGGTGCTTTATTTATTTCTTCATTTATTGATCTAGATTGTTTGTTTGCCTTGCACAGGAAATTTCTGCACAAAAAGTAATTCAAAGTCAAAGGTTTGTTTTATTTGGCTTTTATTTTTAACTTTATTCAAGCTGAAACTAAACAAGAGGAATGAATGCTTTACGACAATTTCACTTCTCAAATCCAGAGAAGCAAGGGATGCAAGTGGACCTAAGGATAATTCGGATATTTTCTCTGGTCGTCATGACCCAAATGCTTTAAAGGTGTTTTGAGTCTCTTGGACTCTTTGTTACCTTTTCTTGTGGTGTCTCTCATGGTAGCACATTTTCTAGTTGGCCTTACTATATCGTCTGCTAACTGCAATTTATAGGAGCATTTACTCCAAATGACGGCAGACCATCGTGTACAAATGTCCTTAAAGCGTGGAAAGTCAACACAACCTGAGCAAGGTAGGTATCTTACTGCAATTTATATGGAACAGTTGATATCCTTTTAATGATGTCACAAATCAAAACATGCAATACATGTAGTCAAAACCTTTTCTTTTTCACTTGTAATATTTTCCCAGGCCATGAAACAACTAAAATGTAATGCCCTTTGAAATGTACATGTTATTGGCAGAAGGAATGCCCTGCATTGAAAAAATTCCTATCTTTTCCCGCACAAACATAGATTTTATATGCTCACTTGCGGCCTATGAAAGCCCAGAAAGTCAACAAGATGAATGTGTTAATGCCTTTTCGCTTTGTCTGGATGATCCTCATTCTTTTGACCTTTTTTAATGTGCTAACTTTGACTGATTTTTGTTGGGAAAGAGCTCATAATGGCAAGAGAGGTACCTTTAAGTTCAACACTTTATGTAACTAACCCTTAAGCTCAATACTATCTGTAACTACTCTTCAACCTTAAGGTATATTGTGACTTTTTGACCTGGAAAGATGAGTTAACTTTATCTGTTGCTCCTTGACCCAACTAGTTCTGTTGAATATTATATCAAACCCATTAATTGAATATTAAGTATTAGCATTAGTATGTTAGAAGTATCAAGACTACAGTTAAAAAATTGTTTCACATTGGACGAATATCATGTGTATTTGTGTTTGACACCTATTAATCGGTGTCTCTTGATAAAATGATGGTTGTGATGGACATGCTTCTGTTTGATTGGCATATAGTTGAATTAGGAACAAGTAGACATCCTAGATCGTAATGTGTGACTTATCACAATGAAAGTTTCTTGCAAATTGGTGGAAAAAAAAATCTAAATCCTACTAGACTGTAAACTTGGTTTTTCTGTGTATACATGTTCAGCACCCAAGGGTGTGGCCTAGTGATCAATGGAGTGGGTGGAGAACTATGAGGTCTCAGATTCATATCCCAGTGGAGGCAAAAACACACTAGGTGATTTCTTCCCATATATTCAAGTCTTGGTGGGCAAAGTTACCCTATACTTGTGCTGGTGGGAAGTAGCAGCCTAGTAGGTATCCTGTGCAATAGTTGAGATGGTGAGAGTTGGTCCTGACACCATTGTGGTAAAGAGTAAAGTTTAAATTGCTGTTTCGATAGTAAGTGTATGCCCATTCCTCCCAGAAACTTCCATCAGGAAGGCATGGATTAGGCGATAATCTAGTAACACTTAAATATCATTGGATTAGGGTCAAAGTTGTAACATCATTTCAGTTTTAGTTTTTTATTTTGTCATATTATTAAATTAAGGACATTCCTAAAAGTTGAAATTGTTGATTGGACTGCTTTACCTTCTAAGTTTGCCTCTTATTTGCGAATCTAATGATATGTTAGGGTTATGTTTTTGGATAACACATGACTTTTAGAACAAGGTCCAATCAGGTTTACTGTTAATATGATGAACATTGAAAAGAAACTTTACATTCTGTCTAACATATTGGAACAAGGATCATGACATAGTTCATGGGATATTAGCTTACAGCGAGCAAGCTAATCTTTGACTAAAGTAAAATCTGGTTGTTATTTGGAGAAAATGTAATTCCACAACAGCTTAACTCATTGGAGGAGGTTTTGAAATTTTTTCTCTAATCATGTCAATGATTGTCTGTTATCATGATCAGTTGATTTGCTATTAATAGTTCTATTTGAGTTCTTTGCAATTCAGACCTAGGGCTCTCTTTAAGATTTAAGTAATAGAGTAATACTCTACTTTATCTTATAAAAAGAAGTAATAGATTGTAGATTTATTAGGATCCTTGTAAGTATATTTTTTCTCTCTCTTCTTTTGTTCCCCTCTGTTTGCAGGCCACTAGCATATCCTTAATGCCGAAGAATACAACATTACCATTTAAAAATAATTAAAAAAAAAAATAGATTGGTGCTGTTATCATAATGATTTACCAGATGTTGTATGAAACATATCTTATTTCTTGTTCGGCAGAATTTGGGACTTGAAAAACTTCATAGTTGACCTTGCTATGTTTATATATGGTGAAACTATATTTCTGTTGAATTGACTCTGAGAAGTAGGGTCAAAGGTAGATATAGATATTTCTCACTCCATCTCTTACCTAAATTGAACAAATATAGAGTTGGCCTAAAATCTGAACAATCTGGAATCTAGATCTAAGTAAGAAAGACTAGAGTACTGTGTCACCAAAATAGACAGGGCTTTTAATTCAGGCATGGCTTTATAAAACACTTTTATTTAATTAGAGCTGCTCAAACATGAGTAATAGCAGAAAATTCAAACTTCTGTTTTTGTTCTTTATACAGTTCTTAGTATAGACACTACTTTTATAAAAAATAGTTCTCATTATAGGCATCAAAAAGCTATTAAAGGACCAATTAATTCTGGAATTTTTGCTCAAATATCACCCATTTTGAGGAAGAATTTCATGTACAGGAGAGACAGGTTTCTTCTTCCCATCTTCACAAAATGTTATGTTATAGAACTGTATTATGAAATTTGAGTAGACATGTTAAACAATTCTAGATGGATAATCCTCTTCAGTTACCCTATCACGAGTTAGTTTAATCTGGCTTCAAATTTTCATGTTATTACAACAGGATGAGAAATGGTTAAATTTCTCCTTTGTCAGGTAATGTGGAAATTGGAAATGGATATGGAGTGCCAGGTGGAGGTGCTTATTACAGTGCCTCAAATACAGATGTCTCGATCTCCAGTAAGACTGGCTTCCTGTTCTATGGGCGATGTGTTTATCATCTTGTTCAAAATTCTATATTAGATTCTTGGAGTTATTTGTTTTTTGCTTTTTCATGTTCAGAGACTAATGGGGGTTCTGAACATAATTCTGTTGGTAAAGATTTGCCTGAATACCTCAAGCAGAAGTTGAAGGCTCGAGGTATTCTGAAAGATGATTCAAAAATAGAGAACCATGGTATATCGATCAATGTAAGCTAGTTATGCATTACGTACTCTCTTCCTAGTCGCTGTTTAAATTTTCACATATTTCAGATGGTTCTGGATTACTAGAATCTTGAATATGAATTCCTTTGTCTTCTGACTTTTGTGATAAACCAGAATTTCTTTCTTTTTTTATTGGTTCTTACTTCTTATGAGATACTTGTTGTCAATTCTTTTTTGTTGAAGTACTTGTTGTCAATTCTTTTTTGTTGAAGTACTTGTTGTCAATTCTTTTTTGTTGAAGTACTTGTTGTCAATTCTTTTTTGTTGAAGTACTTGTTGTCAATTCTTAGTAAACTCTGTTTTCAAGAACTCATTTCTCATCATCCTATTGTTCTCCTCATACTTTTAGTCTCTTGAAAATGAAATGTTCCTGACAACTCTCTTCTGAAATAAAATCTGCACATTTCAGAGCTCAAAGGCACAATTATTAAAGACATCAGATGCCACTTTGCCTGTGGGATGGGTGAGTTATGGCTTAATATACTCGTCTTAAGCTTTCATTTTGAAGGTCTTTATTGGTTGCTTTTTTGTGCCAGAATACCTGAATAGAATTACGGAATATTAGCTTATGATTTTGTTAAAGCTTCAGTATAATATCTCTCTCATTTATTTACTTACTGATATTTTGTCAATTAGAGCATTTGTACTCTTTAGTTCTTTCAATTTCTTGTCTGGTCCATGAAGCAGTGTTTTGGACGGCGAATGCCGACAAGGGTCAAACCGCCAAGGCGCTCGCCCTTTTGAATTGAGGCACCAATTAATACCAAAAGCTTAAAATATTTAATTGCATATATAAATAACCAAAAATTTCAATAGCAATAACATATTAGCAAATATTTCAATTCAAAAACTAATAGTAGATAGTAGATACTAAAAGAAAATTGTATCAGACGCCATTGAAATCGCTATTCATGGACAAATAAATACTACATTAATTAGTGTAAAATTAAATTGAGTTGGGCAGAAATTAAAATAGGACTAGATTTTTTTCTAAAAATAAAATAAAATAGGCAGAGCAGTATGCAGAAATGAAAAACAGAGGAACAGGAAGCTGTGCACACTGCTAACTGCACAGTGACCTGCCAGAAAGAAGAAGAGAAGAAGAAGCAGAAAAAGCTGATTGTGTCTGAAGAGAAGCCGCGAAGCTGAGGAGAAAGAAGAAGAGGAGAGAAGAAGACGTAACTGAAGGCTGAAGCTGAGGAGAAGGCGCGTGCTGAAGAGAAAATTGGAGAAAAGAGTCGTGAGTCACGTCTGGTTTTAAAAACCTAATATTACCTTTTAATAATCAAGTCACGTCTGTTTTTTTTTAAAATAAAAAGGTGACAATGGCGTCACCTCGCCCCGCTGCGTCCCCACTCTTCTTTTCTCGCCATGCCTCGCCAGTAATAGGCGTGAAGACTTTGCCTCGCCTCTCGCCAAAGGCTATCGCCTTTGAGAACACTGATTGAATGACTTTGACAACTGAAAGTATATCGCCTGAAGCGACTCATATTTAACCCATCTCCCTCCCGATACTTCCCACAATTGCCTCTGTTATGAGCTCCATTTTTATTTCTTGAAAACATTAATTCTTCCTCCATTCTATTAACTCCCACCGTGAAGATGAACCTTTTATTCGGGTCATTCAATGCCCTCACGCCCCAATATAGGATCCTAACATTCATAAATAATTTTTCTTTCCCCAAACTCTCCCGCCCTCCATCAACTCACCCCTCTCCCTCTACTTCTAAATCTTTCATACAGCACAATTCTACCTCTTTTTTATTGGGCTTTCATCACTGTCATAACTCCCCCCCCCCGCCCCCCCACACACACTTTCTCAAGCTCATTAGCATCTCTTTCAATGTCATTCAAGAGGCAGGGTTCTGGAAAGATGTCATCATATCTAGACATTGAAGGTTGAATCAATAGTGCACAGAGACCTACTCTCCCTCATGGAGGGGAACTTTGTGGAAGGGTATTATGAAGCTGTGGGATACCTTGGTCAGCATGCTCACTTTGAAGTGGGTAGTGGTTTTTAAAATTTTGGACAAACAAATGGCTTGGCAATACCTTTCTTCAGATTTGTTCAGAGTAACTCAAGATCCCAACTAGGATTTGACATTCAGAAGAAACATGCATGATTGGGAAGCGAGTGATTTGCTAGATAATTTTGCAAGACACTAATATTGTCACGTAAATCCCCAGGTAGCTGACAAGCTTAAATGGGGTTATCACAAAGAGGAATCTATACCGTTAAGGAAGGGTACCATCAATTATGCTCCAGAAACCCCATGATCCTGGAAGCTCATTTGGAGGACCTAAGGTTGTATGTTTTACTTGGACAACTCTATAGGAGGCATGTTGTACTTAAGATAACCTGAAGATGCCATATGTGCAAAAAGGAGGATGAAACCACCTACCACCTCCTTCTTCACTATGAGGTGGCCTTAGAAATATGAAAAATGTTTTTTGTCTCTTTGATCTTAAATGGACCACACCCCTCTTAGTTAAGGATGCTTATGAGAGTTGGAGCCTATGAAGAGCTGACAAAGCCATTAAGAAAATCTGGAGCATGATCCCTTCTTGTATTTTTTAGTGTATCTGGTAAGAAAAGAATAAGAGATGTTTTGATTGGGAGTCAATTTCTTTAGGTATTTTGAAGCTAGGTGTTTTGTCAGTTTGTTTAGTTGGTTCAGTCTGTATCCTGTGGTTTATGCATCACAATTTTAGGACTTTATTAGCACACTAGTTCTGGCTTAGATAGTTTGTACGGTCAGCCAGAGATTTTTTTAAGTTCCAATGCCACATCTTGTAATCTTGCATCTTCTTGCCTTTTATCAATACCACTTACTTCATCAAAAAAAAAAGTGCCAAGACAAAGACTCTATAGGAGGGAGACAAAGAATTATAGGAAACAAATAGATAAAGGGTGGTTGGTGCAAGATCTTACTCCTTTCCTGTAGCAATAGACGTATCTATCTCGCCCCCAAGGCCTAGCTCAAGTGGCAAAAGGTGGAGGATTTGTGGCTTAGGTCGCAGGTTCAATCCCCACACCATGCAAAGCTAAGCCCGGTATTTAAGTGGAGAAGGGTAGAGGGGCGGGCCCATTATCCATCGAGTTTAAAAGACTGTGATTGGTCCAAAGGGCGGGTCACAGACGGATTTCTTGGTTATAAAAAAAATAAATAGACGTATCTATCTCATTAAGAAACGTAGATAACTCACTAGAAGAAGAAGATTTAGCTGCAGCAGACTGCATGGTGGGTTCTTATGCTTCTTCCATTCTATTTCTCCTTGAGTAAGTTATCAAATCAGGCCTATCCAAATGCCCAACAGTCTCCCCCTGAATTCTTTCTCCAATTTTACTTTCAACAATGGAACTAGGAAAAACCATCTCTTCTTTCTTATAATTCTCCCCCTAAAGAGGTGATGATGTAACGCTGAAATAGGGCTCATAACTTGAAGGGTTGCATCCATGCTGACAAAGAATCTCCTAGGAGGGTGATAACATATGTACCTTTTCTGTATTTGAGAATACCCAATAAAACATTTAAGAGCTCTAGGGTCTAGTTTACCAGAGTTTCTAGTATGAATAAAGCAAACACCCGAAGCCTTTTGAGGAACAGTAAAGCAAAAATCCAAAACCTTTTGAGGAACAGTAAAGCAAACACCCAAAACCTTTTGAGGAACAGTCTTCACTTGGCTACTAGCAAAGCAGGCTGTTTTGACTCAGGAGAACCTCATGAAAAGGGGTATCCAACTGAGTCCTAGGTGTTTCCTGTGTGGAGAAGAGGCTGAAACAGTCAATCACCTCTTTCTTCACTGTAGGATCACTAATATTTTGTGGAGCATTTTCATCAATTCGAAGGGCCTACTTTGGGTGATGCCAAGAAATATTGTCCAGGCCCTGAAGATATGGAGTAGCTTTGCCTACATTTCTGGTCATAAAGAAAGATGGAAGATCATCCCCACCTGTATCTGGTGGTCTGTGTGGAAAGAGAGGAACCTCAGATGCTTCCAGAACAAAAGTAACAGCATCCAGAAGATGAAGATGAATTGCTTGGTTTTATTTCATTTTTGGTGTAAACAGGAGTATATGGAAGATCTAGAATCAGTAATGAATGCTTTAGACACCTTGTAATTTTGTTATTTAGGATTGAAGATCTTCCTGATACTCTCCTTTTATTTGTAATTAGTAAACCTGTAACAAGTTGTGGCAGGTTTGATTTTTTGGAATATAATACAAGACTGTTACCTTCTCAAAAAAACAAAAAAAAAAAACACCCAAAACCTTTAGAGGAACAGTAAAGCAAACACCCAAAACCTTTAGAGGAACAGTAAAGTCATTCTCACCCTTTAAAGTTTCCAAGGGACTCTGAAAATTGAGGATTTTAAGTGGCATTCTATTGATGAGGTAGGCAGCTACTAGAATGGCATCCCCCAGTAAGGCTTTGACAGATTCATGGTAAACAAAAGGGATCTTGCTACTTCTAACAAATGCCTATTTTTTCTTTCAGCAGCCCCATTTTGTGCACTAGTATAAAGACAACTAGTTTGATGGATTATCCCAAAAGACTCCAAGTAAGCTTCAAAAGTCTTATCCATGTATTCTGTGCCATCATCAGTTGAAATATCTTATCTTAGTATCGAACTGAGTACAAGTCATCTTATGAAATGATTTAAAATAGGAAAAAACTTCACTTTTGGCATTTAACAGATATATCTTGTCATTCTAGTGCAACAATCAATAAAAGTAACAAATTATCGATTACCGGACAAAGAAAGTGTTTTGAGTAGGACCCCATACATCAGAATGAATAGTCAAAAAAGAAATTGTACTTCTAGTATAAAGTATAAACCATGAACATTTCAAGAAGAAGACTTTTTATATTTCTTGATTCTTAGTTGTGCGGGCTCTTCACTTTTGATGCCGGTGTCGGATTCTCCAAAAATACACTACTTTTGGCGAATCCAACATGCACCCGTTGACATTTTTGAAGAGTCCAAGCAACATAGTCTTGATTAATATATAAACCATGAGAATGATACTTATACAATGAGTCCTAAGACTGAAAGGAAAGACAATATAACAGAATCAATTACATTCAATTCAATCAACACTAGTTATCGTAGTACTTAAATCATGTGTTTGGTATGTTCTAATTATCTATAAGTTGTGCACCTCACTAGTTCACTTCAAAGAAGCACACACTTAACTTCTCGCTTTTCACTTCAATTACCCTATATAGATCTTGTTACTTTTTTGTGCTTTTGCTTTTAAAAACAGTGATGTTTATAGTGTTAATATTTGCCTGTAATTTGAGAATGCAGATCGAATCCAGGGACCCTACAAGTGGTGCTTTATATTATTATAATGGAAGTACTGGGAAAAGCCAGTGGGAAAGACCTATTGAGGCTCCTGCACAAGTTTCTGGGGTGTGTTTGGGACTTCCTGAATATTGGCAGGAGGTTCTTGATGAATCATCTGGTATGCTATGTATCATAACTTTGCTAGCTGTTTACTTGCTTCATGTTATTTGTGGATGGAGAAGATTAAATTAGAACACTCGGAACTTTTAAATCAGAAAGAATTGAGTTTAAATAGATGTTCTTTTTGAACATTCATTTATTTTCTCATTTGTAGGCTGATCCTTTTTAATGTGAATCCTGATGTTGCTATTTCTCAAAAGATTTTGGCTTCCCTTGGATAAAAATAACGGAAGGTGCAGTAATGCTTGGAATGAGCCCATGCTGATTTTCCAAACCCCTAAATCCATAGGTCGTGTTACATTCCTCCTTTATCATAGTGGGGCTTCTCCATTGTTTAATTGCCAACTAGGCATGCATTTACTACAACTGGGATCCCTTATCCCTGTGCATCATAGGTTTGACATGTCTCTTTTTCATTCTCCTTTTGAACTGGTGAGGAGTGTATTTAGTAGTACATTGCGTTCCTTTGCTGCTAGAGGAATGAACAAAGAGGATCTTATCTAAGGTATTAGACTTAGCTGGTCACAGTTTTGATTGTTGTCGGTATCTAATCATCAAAGCAATCCAAGTGCAAATTTAGTTGTTTGAGCTCTTTACATTTTATGTCATATTGAGCCTATGTTTTCTATTATTCAAACTGTTTGCAGGTCAAAAATATTACTATAACTCACAGACTAATGCATCACAATGGGAACATCCTTCTAAACCACAGCAGGTTGCCATTCAGCATCATGATAGAGCAGTCACCAACAATGCAACTAATGTAACTCAGGTTGACCAAGCTTCCACATTCCTGAGATGCATTGAATGTGGTGGATGGGGTGTGGGCCTTGTACAGTCATGGGGTTACTGCAAACATTGCACTCGGTAAGTTGTCATTGCATATATTTCTCCTTTTGACATTTTTGTGTTTATTTGTCTCGTCTTTGTTTTCGTGTAATGCTACTGAATATGAGTACTTTTGCTCGAGTAAGATTCCAATGGAACTTAAACTTATAGTGCAACTTTTAGGGTATTCTTGTTTTTGTCCCTTATTTACTTGTTAATTCACTGCACTGTCTATATGTGCAGTCCAACATCTACCACATGCAGTTGGCTTAGAAGGGTTCTTTGAGTTTAGTATATCCAGGAATGGTGGAGTGGAATGAGACAGTACTCAAGCAATGACGGACACGTGTATTTCTAGCACCCTTCCATATGTATAACTCAGTTCTAGAGTTTACACATGGATTGAAGACTTCTATTTTTGTCTTTTTTTTTTTCTTTTACTATAGAGTTCACCTAATGTAAAGAGAGATCAAACTCATCAGGCTAAAGAATAGGCCTTGAGCTGAGAGAGAAGAGAGAGTTGACTTAATATGCTAAGGACTGGAGCAAAGGTAATGGCTCGAGGGTTGAGTTGCTCGAAAAGCATAGAGCAACGCAGTTGGCAGAGAGAAGACAGTGTTGCAAATGGGCTTACCAAAGTTTGGGCTATGATACCATTTGAAATAGTCTGAGCACTTTTTCAAGGCAGTAAATCAATGGGTGGAGTGGCCCAACATGTTATAAATCCTTTTGAGAACTCTTGCAGATTAAAAGAACAAACCTATTTTCTAAAAGGTTCTTTTCAACTTTAGCAAACGAAATATTCAACTATCAGGAGTTATATGTCTCGGAACAACAACAACAATAACATACCCAGTGAAATCCCATTAAGTGGGGTGTGGGGAGGGTAGAGTATACTCAGACCTTACCACTACCTCATGGAAATAAAGATGTTTCCGAAAGACCCTCAACTCAAGTGTGTCAACCCCAAGTAGAGGAAGAAGAAAACAATGAAAAAAGCATAGTCGTTAATAAGAAAACCAATGCCAAGTTTACAAGAGAGGAATACTAACAAAATGTGATAATCTAAAACACAATAAACTACATATGACAAGAATTACAAGGGTACAACTAGTACTACGGTTATTATAACTCTACCCTAATACGCCACCTCCATTCCTTCCTATCTAGAGGCATGTCCTTGGTGAAGTTGTGCCATGCCCTGCCTAATCACCTCTCTTTAATACTTCTTCAGCTTGCCTCTACCCCTCCGTGTGCCCTCTACAACCAGCCTCTCGAACCTCCTCACTGGGTGTCAATGCACCTCCTTTGCACATGTCCAAATTATATCAATCTCGCTTTCCTCATCTTGTCCGTCAGAGAAGCCACTCCCCACCTTCTCCCGGGTAACCTCATTCTTAATCTTATTGCTCCCAGTATGCCCATACATCCGTCTCAACATCCGCATTTGCGCAACATGCATCTTCTGCATATGCGAGTTCTTGATTGGCTAGCACTCCACCCCATACAACAAAGACGGTCTAACCACAACTCTATATAACTTCCCTTTTAAGTTTAGGTGGTACCTTCTTATCACACAAGTCTCCCGAGGCAAGCCTCCATTTCATCCATGCAGCCCCAATGCGATGTGTGACGTCATCGTCAATGTCTCCTCTAATATGAATTATGGACTTAAGATACTTAAAATTTTCTCTCTTGGGAATAATCTGTGTGGCAAACCTTATTTCCATATCTGCTTCATGCGACGCAATAGTGAATTTGCACTCTAATTTTTTTTTGGTTGACCGTGGTTTTCGGGTTAATGTTCACGTACCTCGACTAATTCCATGGGATACCTATCACCTGCCATCAACAACATGTTCTAGGTAACTCTGTCCACCCAGGCTAGGATGGATGAGAAGAATCACCTAGTGTTTTTTATGTGTCCACTAAGTTTTGAACCTGAGACCTCAGGGTTCTCACCCACTTCATTGACCACTAGGCCACATCCTTAGGTGCAATTTGCACTCTAAATATTCTGTTTTGGTCCTGGTTGACCTGAACCCTTTGGAATCCAGAGTCTGTCTCCAAACCTCCAACCTAGCATTAACTATATCCCATGTCTCATCCATCAGAACTATGTCGTTTGCAAATAATATACACCATGGATCATTTATTCCTTCACAATTCATTAGCAAAATATCTTTGAAACATATCTTTCTCGATTTTGACAAAGTTGGATCATGTCATTCAGTATAAAAGATGCATATGAAAGCTGGATTTCATGAAAAATTGGGAAAGCCATCAAGAAAATCTGAATTATGGTGCCTGCCAGTATAATCAAAAGCAAAAAGCGCAAAAAAGCTCTGAGTCCGTTGGGTCTTTAAGTGCAAATAAAGCGTGAGCTTTAATGAGAAAAGGCGCCAAGGGAGAAAAGAAATACTAATATATATGTTTAGTCCAAGACTAATAATTATAAGCATGAATGACCTGTTGAGTTGCTGGATCAGAAGGGGTTGCAGCAAAAACCAGAAGAAGTGGTGGCGGATGATACCTTCCTGCATTTGGTGGTCAGTGTGGGAAGAAAGAAATGGGAGATGCTTTGAAGACAAAGTTAAGTCCATTCATGATGTAAAATGGAGTTGTCTAGTCACATTATTTTTTGGTGGAAGGAGAACTGTATAGAGGAAATGGATGAATTTGTCGATTTCTTAGGAGCTTTGTAAATCTAGACTCTATTTTCTCTTCTTGTAAAACGTTTTTGAAGGTGACCAGCATCCCTTAATGCTGAGGAAATATATATGAACAAAGAAAGTGAAAAAACTGCTATAACGTGAAATATCAATTGTTTAGTGTCACCTCTTGCAAGGAGAAGTATGTCTTAGAACCTTGAACCTTGATTATGACACTGAAATGCACATTTAGTGAGGCGAAGCTCAATACGTTTTGAGCCTCGCTTCAGAGCTTAAGCACACCATTGACAAGTGACAACAATGGTGCCTGATAGTATATTTTTGTGCGTATGGACATAAAAAATGCACTTTTTTATATGGAATCTCAACTCCAAACCATTCCTTGAAAGCTAGATGTTTACTTAATCTGTTTAGCTGGTCCAGTCTGGCCCTTGTAAAGACTGATCATAGTTTGGACATTGTCAGCTTCCTTGTTTTAGCATAATCTCTTTTGATTTCCTTGTTTTAGCATAATCTCTTTTGTATTTAGGGTGTGTTTTTGTTTGGAGGAAAATGTTTTCAGTTTTTTCAAGCTTTGTTGGTCAATGTTTTGGAAAATATTGTCCCTAGGAAAACAAATTCTTTAATAATGAGGAAAATGACAGTGGAAGTAGGGTAGGGAAAGCAGAGGAGCAGAGTATCATGCACTATGGAGAGAGGTGATAGCGGACACATATGGATTTATGGAAGGGGTGGGGGTGGGGGTGCGGGTGGAGAGTTAGAAACAGTACTGTTCCTTTTGGTGCAAGCTGTGGAGAAATATCTTGAAAGGCCGAAAGGACTTTAGTGATAACATAACTTTCAAGGTAGGGGATGGGAGTAATCTTAGTTTTTGGGGCCATAGGTGGTGCGGGAATCACTTTGAGAGTCACATATCCAAACATTCATAGTATTTCATGCCAAAAAGAGATGACAATCCAACAATTAAGGAGATACAAGAAAGAAATGTTCTTTGGGATCTTGAGTTGGTAGAAATTTCATGATTCGGAGATGGAAGAATTGCAAAACTTGCTTGAGATGCCCACAAACAAACTCTACCATTAGAAAATCAGGATTCTTGTAGGTGGGAGACATGAGTTAGGCAATGGTGGTTGTTTCTCAGTAAAGTCTAATTATGCCTAGATTCTCACAGGAGATGAGATGGGGGCATGATGCAGTTTGGATTTGAAGGGCACTAAGAAAGGAATGTTTCTTCATATGGCTGGCAACTAGAAGAGCAATTTTGACAACCGAGAATCCGAGGAAAAGAAGGTTCACCTATGTTAATTGGTGTTTTTTTGTGCAAAAAATCAGACGAGGATGTGGATCACCTTCTACTTCATTGTCAGATTGCTTCAAGGTTATGGTGGGTGATTCTGAGATGGTTTGAATTCCTGCGGATTATGCTGGGGACGTTAACATGAACTTTGTTTAGTTGGGCTTTTAGAAGATGGAAGGGAAGGCCCAAAGCAGGGGACATTGCTCCATCAGCTCTTATGTGAGTACTGTGGTGAGAAAGAAATAGAAGAACTTTTGAAGGAGTTGAACATGATTTTGTATATTTGATGAATAGCCTTTTATCCCTATTTAATTTTTAGGGTACCCATGAGATTCCCATTTGTACATGAATGGGTGTCCATTTTGGAGAACCTTTTTTTTTTTTGAAACTGGTAAATGTGTATTCCTCAGCATTAAGGACATGCTGGACACCATCAAAAAGTGTTAGATTAAAAAAAACAGCAACTAGAAAACAAGATACTTACAGAGATCTTAATAAATCTACAAACTGATCTATATCCTCTAAACCTACTTCTCTACACCAAAAGTAGAAAGATATTATACAATTCCATTTAACTTTCTGAATGGAATTGGATCTATCTTCATAACACCTCCCATTTCTCTCTCTCCAAACTGTCCACCAGATGCATTGTTGGATGATCCTCCACCACTTCTTTTGACTTTTGCTGCCTCCTCATTTCATCCAGCAACTAAGCAAATCTGCAGTATGCTCCGGCATAGTCCAGCTTGTCTTTGTTATGTTGAGAAATAGAGACCAAAGGTGTGCTGTAAAAGTGCAGTGCAAAAATAGATGACTGTTTGTTTCATTTGTCTCATTGCATAAGAAGCACCTGGAAACTATGATGGCCCCTTTCTTCTTCAAAACTACTTGTATACATGAGTTTTTCCCTTTTATTAAAATGAAATTATTCCTTGATAACACAACAAGTTCCATATGTGGCAATTCAATCCTCCCCACCCCCCGACACACCAAATCGGACTCCAACCCCCATAGCCTCTCAGCTCCACCACCCCCACACTCCTACCCCCTACCTCCACCTCCATAGTATTTCCCTAGATTTTATGTAAACGCTTTTGAAATAAATATTTTCTGCTTACTTACCAAACACTAGAATTGAGTAAGAAAATCACTAATTTTCCAAGAATTCCTAGAATTAGACCACATTTGAGAGGGCATTTTGTAGATCTTAACTGAATAAATTAAAGTATTCCTTGGCTAATAGCTAAGCATTTGAAGTAGTAGTTTGCTCAAATTCAACGATCATAAGTATCTAGGATGCATTTGTCTGAACATTGATAGTGTTCCGAATGCAGAGTTCTCAAGCTTCCTCAAAGCCAGTATGTGTCAGCAAATGTGGAGAGACAACAACAAACTTCTGGGGATGCAGGTGTCACAGAAGACACTGACAAAAAGTTTCAGAGGCAGAGGTATGCTGTCTATTCACAAATCATATCTATATAATTTTAAACAGCTTTGCTGGTACACTTTGGTGTTGTTTAAAGAGAGCCCATGCAATTCTTGGTTCTGTTTGCTGTTATTAAGCCTCTCCTTATCCCTTTTTCTTTCCAACTTGTTTGTTTGAGAGGAACTGATAGGAACTAAACTAGAGGATATTAAAGTTAAGCATCACATCCTGATTCTGCACAGTTGGTGTCTCACTAGTTTCTGACAGTCTTCCTGATATGTGTGCATCCCACTATGAATTCAGCCCTTGATGTTGCCTTAGTCCTTTTTGTCTATGGACTATGATAATGATGCTTTATTTTTGTCATATGGAATCCATGTATGTTAGTTTTGCACTTTAGTAGTGATGCATCATCATGCCAGTTGGTGAATGAACTAAATTCTTTATCCTTCTAAACATTAAATTAATAAATGTTTTTATCTCTACATTCTTCCTTATTACTATTTTGGAACTTATATTGGTGAAATACAGTAATATAGATGTCAGTGGAAGTAATTTTTCTTGAAAAAGTTTCTGCAAACTAGCTGCTCTTGTTTGTCATGCTGAATTCTCATACTTGTTTTATTACCACTATGGGTAAGCAGTTTGTCAGGTAAATGATGAATAACATAGATGATGTCACTAATGGAGCTCAGAGGGATGAGTGAAAAAAAAAGGAATTTTTTTTTTTTTAAAAAGTATTAGTAGTTAACTACTGCTTAGACTCTCTTAAGGGGAAACTGTTCACTGCACCAATGAAACTAATTGAGAATTCTGTTTAACCAAGTTCATGCATATAGATCAAGGAGGCAAAATGAGAGGAGAATCTTTTTAATTTTCAAAAGTCAATTATCTGATCATTCAGACTGCAGGTCTAGTTTCAAACCACCAATGAGTAAAAGCAACAAAAAAGACAAACGGAAACGCACAAATGATGAGGATGATGAATTGGATCCCATGGATCCAAGCTCTTATTCGGATGCTCCTAGGGGTGGTTGGTGCGTATTCCAAGGCTGTTGCCTCTGCTGCTTGTGTCCACTTACATGGTTGTGCATTTTGCAGATTTTAGAAGTTCTGAAGTTATTAACTGATAGTTTCTTTTATTGCCGACTCTGTAGGGTTGTAGGTCTCAAAGGAGTGCAACCACGGGCAGCAGATACCACTGCAACGGTATGTTGACTGCTTTTCAAGTTAATCAATAAGGCTTAACTTGTCTTAACTTCTATATATTATGTTCATTTTTAAGAAAAACATTTTTATTTCATCACAAGAGATGGTGATACACCCTTTTAATACATCAACACTTCTAGATGCTCTCAAAAAGATTGTAATCCTGACTTCCACAGAGAAAGTAAAAGGGAAAAAGAAAGACCTACAAGATTGTAGCCTGCAAACAGAAGAATCCATTACGATACCATATGTACTGGGATACTTCTATCACAACTAATATCCATTAGTCATGTGCCCATGTTTCCGTTCACCATGGCAAGAGATATGTCTTGCACATTGTAAGGAAAAACACATAAAGAATGCTTAATTCAGCTAGTGGTTTAAGCACAAATCCCAATTAAAACATAGATTTAGTAAAGACAGGAGAAAATGAAGAATAGTTTCAGATATATGTGTTGGAAGAAAAATAATTTACTCGAAATATATGAATTTTAACAATCATATCAATTGAGTTGAACAATCATTTCAAATTTATGTTTCAGATTTTAAAAGATGCAGTTTAAGCTTCTCATAATATTTAGTGATTAATTCTTTTATGATGAATTTTTAATTTTTATTTCTACTCACTAGCTTAATCAATTATAACTCATTTTGTCCATAAATATATTACTTCGCCAACAATAGTTATTGTTTAGTTTCTCTTTCTTCAATACGGATGGCTGTTGAGACACATGCTGTAATGGTTTGGTCACATTAAAGGGCTGCCTAAACGGCTGCTCTTAGCTTCATGGCTCAGGTACTCCCCAAGCAAACCTATAAAACCACTACCTACCTCATGCCATTATCATCAATAAAATGACCATATTGACAAAAGTGAGACTAAGTGCATTTTGATACTTGTAAAAAATGTGCATTTCCATACTTCATAATTGTTACAGAGAAAGATGACTAGTATATGGGGACACAAGGTATGCTACCTCTACCTCCGGTCACCCTTTCTTCCTCCATTGACCCCTATGCGGCTATACATTTGCATTAAAATAGTATTATATGTTTGCGTGTTCAAGTCGCTTAGCGCGCCTGGTCGTGGAGGTGGTGGGTGGGGAGAGAGGAAGAGAGAGAAAAAAAGAAGAGAAGATGGTGTGATGGTGACAATGGTGGGAGGAAGGAGGAACAAAGGGTGATTGGTGGTAAGAGGTAGTGGTAGTGGCAGAGAGAGAGGAAGGAGGAACCAAAAATAATTAAAAACTCAAAATTAGGGAGAAGAGTCAAATTTGCCCCCGAACCATGTAAAAGGTTCAAATTTTCCCTCCATTATAAAAAACTAATCCTTATTTGCGGGACACGTGACATCACCATTGCTAAGCTTCTGCAATTTGAAAATAATGGCAAATTTAGCCCATTTTAGTAATGGAGAGGCAAGTTTGACCCCAACTATTAACGAAGGGTAAATCTGTTCCATTTCACATCGTTTAGGGGTAATTTTTGACTTTTTGCCCTTATATTTATTAAAGAATTTAAAGGAAATGATCATAGCATTCTTGGCTTTAGAAAATAGAGGTCAATTAAGAAATAAATATACTTAGAACTAATTAATCTTAAATGAGAAGATTCGTTTTACTTCTTCATATACATTAATAGCATAAATAATGTTTCGTACAATTTTTTGGATCCAACAAGGATATTCTATTTTCTTGTAATCATATGTAACCTGTTATGAAAAATTACTTGTTGTAGGAGATCAATTCAGCATGCTGGTATAAAATTATCCCAAATTATTTTACTTTTCTCATCAATTTAGGAGATCAATCTTAAAGCAAATAATGTTTTATTCACGGGTGGCATAAAGAACAAAAGGAGTTCACACATTCTATTTAAGTTGATGTACTTTGGCATGTATTCATCCTTTTATAGGTTATTCATATGAAGTGATTCTTAATTACCTTCTGTTAGATTTAAATGGTCTGTTTGTAAAACAGTAAAAGATCCTGAGCAAAGTAGAATAGAAGGTCGAATGTACCCTTAGACTTTTTGAATGGTCTAAATTTTACCCTTTAGCTGCTGCTGCTAGTCCATAAGGGAAAGAACAAGCTGCTTTGGTTACGACAGCGGTAGGAACAAGACACTTTTTTAATGGAGGGCAAATTGCTTCATTTCACATTGTCTAGGGGCATTTTGACCCTTTACCCTAGAAAGGAAAAAAGTCATCGCAGCCTTTGTTTTGAAATTATTTTAAGTGATACCTATAGAGACTTGCATTTGAAACTTATAAATTTGAATCCTCTGTCAAATTCAAAATTTTCCACTCAAACTAATTCTTTATAATTCAAATCATGTGTGATGTTGTCAATAATGTGATGGTTAAGGGATTGAGCCATACGAGTAAGAACCTTGAGATCCCAGGGTCGAACAGTGACACCACTCGGTGCAAGTCCATTTGCTCCAACCTTAGTGTGTGGGTCTACCTGCACCTTTGCTTGTGATTATATCAGGTAGCCTGACAGATTAGTCGATGTTGCACAAGTTGGCTGCGAAACTAACGTCATTGAAAAACCTTCTTCAAACGCTACTATAACAGACGTCATACAACAATTTGTTCAAGCATTCCACCTTGAAGTCCCTACGGGTTAAAATTGGTCAAGTGTTTTGGTGATAGGAGTAGATGCTTTACTGAGCTCATTCCACTACTTTCTTGCTCTTCAAATAATAGGCAGGTTTCTTTCATTCCAAGTTGAATTTGGTTTTACCATATTTCTTGTTACATTAGCTGGGATTAGGAGCTTCTCTGAAGCATTCATGTGCCATATCCTTGCCTTTTCTTTAAGCATTTGGAATGCTTGACATACACGAGCATGTCTGTCTAATGTTGCGCACATATTGGGCCAGACAGGTTTTACTCCCTCCGTTACTATTTAGTTGTCACCATTTTAGGTTTCACGCCCCTTAAGAAATTAGGTAAGTTTACCATTGTATCCCTATTTAGTATTCTCTTGAAGTCAAGTTTTCAATAAATGAACATGAATTAATTTATTTTGATTAATTAATTTGAACAATGAACATGAATTAATTACTTAGTTTTCCTGTGGTCAAATACATATTTTCAAGGCTAATAACTCTCAAGGATAAAATAGGAAGAATAGTGTCATTTATGCATAAGTTTTGTGAAATAACAAATATTAAGGAACATTTTTAGTAAGGACAACATAAATAGGAACGGAGAGAGTATATAATATTAAGACTTCAAAACTTTTGATGAGGGATCATATTTTTCTTTGTAATTTCTTTTAGGTGTTTCGTTAGCACTTAATCGATCAAATAGCAAGGAATGCAGAAAAAGTGTTGGTGTTTTTAAAAAATGGGGCAGCACAAAAAGATTAAAAATGTCTCTCAATGGATTGAAATGACTTTCAATAGCTTTCAATAATTTTATTAAGCATTGAGGGGCTTTAAATAGTCAACATAAAACATATAATCTGCATAATTTAAAATTTAAACAACCTAAAATATCTCAACAACATAAACAAACTAACTAAAATTCAAAATTCAAATTAAATAACTTATTTTGCTAAAAGTTACTGCAGTAACTAAAAGCAAACTTCAACACTCCTCCTTTGCTTTAGTTACTGCAATTGAAAAAAATGCTCCTCCTCAATTTTTTATTTTTTGCTTTGGTAGTTGATGCTGGATTTTTTCATTGTTTTAGAACTTGCAAAATTTCTTCTTTTTTCTTTTTCTTCTTTTGATTTTGTTCTTCAAAAACACATGCGATGACATTGTCTTGTGTAGATTTTTTTTTGAAAGTGCTTTAATTTGAACTTTTGTATGATTTGCAGAGAGAGGTTGTAAGGGTTTTTCTTCCATCACAACCTCACATATCACATAGGTTTCAAAATATGATTTTATTCTCAAAGACCAAATTTGATAGTTTTCGTCTGTGAAAATTTGTGGGGCATTCAAAGAGAGACAGTTGCTTGCCATTATTTTGGTTAAAAAATGATTTAGAAAAGTCTGTGCGTTGAAAAAAGCACGGGTTGAAAAGGTTGCCTTGATGGGTTAAAATGGGTAGCCCTGATGGGTTAAAAAGGTAGCCCTTACGGGTTAAAAATGTATGGTAGTTTTTGGAAGATTTCATAGATCCCTTAAGATCAATGAAGCTCTTGATACCACTGCTGGTGTTTTTTAAAAATGGGGCAGCACAAAAAGATTAAAAATGTCTCTCAATGGATTGAATGACTTTCAATAGCTTTCCATAATTTTATCAAGCATTGAGGGGATTTACATAGCCAACATAAAACATATAATCTGCATAATTTAAAATTTAAACAACCTAAAATATCTCAACAACATAAGCAAACTAACTAAAATTCAAAATTCAAATTTATTCAAACTAAATAACTTATTTTGCTAAAAGTTACTGCAGTAACTAGAAGCAAACTTCAACAAAAAGACAATCATAATACAATTTCTCTGGTTTGTCTGTTTGCAATTTCTTGAGAACTTCCTCCATCTGTGTCTAGAAGTGTTGGATAAGGATACATCTTTGATGTGTGGGGAGCATGCTATCAGTTGTCAATTAATAACATTTCATTGTTGAAGTATTTATATCTTTGAGTGCCATTGGCTAAAATCAAAATCACGTGGAAAATTCTGTTCAGAAGTAAAGTTTACTTATTGACATTGCCATTTGCACTAATCTTGATTTGGTTTATCTTTATTGCCATGGTATGGAAAACAGTCTTGGCTCTCTTTATAAGGTTTCATCCTTCTGTTGCAAACATCAGTGGCTTCCTCATATCCAATTTCCTGCTTTATAAATATGCTTTTATTCCTTGTATGCCTTTTAACTTAAAATGATATCTTTCCGGTTCTTCAAATTTCAGGGTCCTCTCTTTCAGCAGCGCCCTTATCCGTCTCCTGGAGCAGTCTTGCGTAAAAATGCTGAAATTGCTTCTCAAAGGAAAAATACTAAATCGAATCTTACCCCTATATCCAAGAGAGGTGATGGTAGTGATGGACTGGGTGACGCTGATTGAAGAATTTAAGCCATTGTGTTATATTTAACTTTAAAGTAAGTTCACCCCCACCCAACCCCAGACAAGTCTTGACATTGTCAGCTTGAATTCGGTTGCTGCATATTTTTAACTGTCAAATCATTCTTCTCATTTCAGGGAGGATTCACAGAAAGGGAACTTCTCCCAGTTGAAGTTGATGCACCACAAGGCACTAGACATTGTCACATTCTAATCGTAGATGCTGCAAAATCGGGGACATCTGAATATTCATCTCGAAGTTCCTGACATACTGCTGAAAGAGTTTCATCCAAAAATGCAATAGGCGTGTAGAACATAAAATTTGCAGTTGAAATGCTAGCGTCTAAACTCCTCCTCCTTCATCTTCTTCAGAAAAGACTTCCAAACTTCATAAACAGGGACTGCTGTAGGAGCCTACGCCAGCCTCTGTATAGAAAGATATTTATTGTAATCCTATATATGTTTGGCATACGGTTTTTGTAACCAGAGAATTGAGTAGTTTTTTTTCTTTTTATTTTTTGAGAAAGAGATGTCATGAAAAGGAAAAAAATTGAATTCTCTACAATAGTAGGAAGTTAAGAACACTTGGATCCTACTGTGTGTTCACTTTCATTTAGCATTTAATTTTGAGGTGAGGGTCTGTCGGAAACAACCTCTCAAGGTAGGGGTTAAGGTCTCCGTAAATACTGTACCTTTCCATATTCTACTTGTGGGATCACATTGAGTATGATATTGTTCATAATGTTTTGTTTATACTAGGCAATTCGTTCTCTAAAAAACATTTTTGGACAACCACATAGTTTGCAAGCATAATATATTCCTATATTTGATGGTTTGTATGTTTTAATTGAATCGCTAACCAGAATGAATATTACGGTAAGAGTTGAAAATATTTAACTATTTGACATCAAAGGTGGTGAAAATAGGACTTCTAGTTTTCAATTAATTTAATTGCACTATAATAACTTGAAAATACGAAGTTCACAAGGCTAGAAAAATATTTGAGATGTAGAATTGAAAATTTATTTTGGCACCAAAATGGAGTGGTTAGATGGCCTTCCAAAGTGGTTTTTACTTGTTGAAAATCAAAATAATATGAGGCTAAAAGTAAGTTACTAAAATTTATGTTAAATATATCATTCTGCATCTTTTAGAAACAACCTTTCTGCATTCACAAGATAGGAGTAAGCTCTGTGTACATTCTACCCTCTCCAGATTTCACATTGTGGAATTATACCGAATAAATTGTTTTTGTTTTTCTCTAGATTGTGTTTTTCAAAAATATTGAACAAACAACCATGACAAAATTAGAAAATATTTTTCATAACAAACGATTGAATAAACCCTTAGACTCTTAATACTCAATATAGTCATCAAAAAATATTCTCGACAATTAAGTTTAAAACATGTATATGCAAGGTCATATTCATAGAAGATTTGGTTGCATCATGCTTTGCTTATTCGAACTGTGTCCCAAAGTCTAATGTTGGTTATAACGTTTTGTCCTCTTGGAATAGTTTTATTTGTTTTTTTTTTTTTTTTTGAGATTTTTCACTTGGTGTCCAGAATTCATATTAGAGTCTCGATTAATATCAAACTGTGCACTGCAGGATTTATTTAGGGGTTGTGCTCCCAATGAAATTTTGTTCATATCCAAGGCTCGAACCCGAAATGCCTAGTTAAAGGTGTGATAATTCCACCACTGCATCGCAACCCATGTTGATTTCTAGTTCATTCTTGCTTGCTCTTATGTAGAGAAGACATAAATCACTTGTTAAGAGTAAATTTGGTCTTCTAAAAACACGAACCGCCACATATTTAGAAGCAATTGATAGCAATGGAGCTAGAATTTTCATAAATTTCCCCTTTTCCCTCTCCACCCTTGCTCATACATAGCATGAGACATGCTATAGCAACAAAGACGATAAGAGATATGAAAAATAATTTTATATTTGTGTTTTTCAAAAAGGTAATACATTATATGACCCGTTTGGTCATGATTTTTTATTATATTTTAAAATTAATACCTTAACTAATAAAATTCTAAATTCTTGTATTTTAAAATTGGAAAACATCTCATAATATAATTTCAACTCATTTTTCATCTTTAAAATCAACAATAAAAAATGGAAAAGTCGAACCAATACTCCAATATCCCCTGGGAAAATTTACGGCACTTGATGACTTGGTTAACACGAACACAACAATCGACGGAGCACATTTTTTCTCTAAAATGGAATATTTGGAAGTTGGTAAAGACACATCCCTTATTTCAGTCAGAATGAGTCTCCGAGACTCCGGGACAAGTTCCTCTTCTTGCTTTTCCAATTCGGAAAGACTTGTCGAAAATCGCCGATTGGATTAGTCTGACCAAGAAAGACATGAGGCTTTTGGGCATTGCTTTGTTGTGGAAATTTTCATCATTGATTCCCACAATTTTCATTATCTTACTAGTACAATTAAATTTGATTTCGTGCCAGAAAATCTAGAGAAAAACACTTTCTAATTAAGACACTGGATATTCAATATCAAATATAGATAAAGAATACGTAACACTCCACCGCACAAATCTAGTTACTAATTTTCATCTTCTTACAACTTGTAGCTAAAATCATCCAATTTCATCACATTTACCACTTTCCCTCTTTTCCCGCCCCCATATATACAGCTTCAAACTCCATTATCAACACTTCACATTGAAGCTTGAAATTCTTGAAAATTAGACATAATAAGCACGCACCCAAAATCTGGGGATTGTTGAAATGATCCTTTGTTTGTTCTTGAGAGAAGCAACACAATAAGAATTTCGACTTCAAGAAATCAATACGAAGAATCTTGAAATTCAAGTTTGGATTATACTAACCCAGATATCGAGAAACCAAAGTTATTGATTTGTTGTAGTGATTTTTCTGGTGAAGAATTGGAGTTTAGTAGTTAGTTTTTTCCCCTGAATGGTGGTATGGCAGCTTATTGTCCATGCCAGTTTGGTATGGGTCGGATAGGGGTAATTCATCTTCGTCAGCTAAGATGTGGAAAGATTTCAAGGTTTGGAATTGGGTCTTCATATTCATGTGGGTCTGTGTTGCGAAGGAACCTCAAATGTGTTGAAAGGCGAAGAATGAAGCTTGTTGTCAGTGCTGATCTCTCCAATGCGTTCTCTGTTAACATTGGCTTGGATTCTCAGGTTGGTGTTCCTGTTTTTGCTTTAATTGATCAATGTCTATAATGTTGTGGAGAGAATTGGTTGTGAAAATAGAAATGTAGTCCACTACCACTTATTTTCCCCTGTAATTCAAGTTTGATTTCTGTCATTTAAAGCTTTGGATATTTGCCCTCTTATTTTGTTAATTAGCTGGTTGCGAGGATATGACTCTTGATAACATGATTCTTGATAGGAGGCTGTGGAGGTTGGGTATTCGGGTAGAAGGCTAGTATTAAATAGTTTTACATCTGGTCTCTCTGGCTAGAACTATTAGTATTATTTTAGTATTTCCGTATTTCTCACTCTTAGTTTTCTATGGTGTACTACTTTTGTCTTGTATGCCTCTATTTTCTTACTATCGCGCTGTTGTTACTGCTTATGTATAAATGTTGTGTTTTACTTTCTTTGAGCCGAGGGTCTATTGGAAACAACCTATCTACCTGACAAGGTAGAAGGGTGAGGTTTGCATACACTCTACCCTCCCTCCCCAGACCCCACTTGTGGGACTATATTGGGTATGTTGTTGTTGTTGTTAGCTGGCTGCACTGACGGTGACAGAAAGGGATGGTGTTGGAAGCTTACCTTTGATCTTGCTTGAAATGTACTAGTCACTTTACAGGCCAATGAGTCTTCAAATGAGTAGACTTGAGATTGTCTTTCAGTTCACTTCATGTAAGATATGCCACTGTTGAACCTTCATGTGCCATAGAATAGGAAGTAAAAGAAGAGAGAGATGAACTCTAAGCAGAAGTCGGAACGTGTGTATTATTATGTGTTCCTTTCTATCTTTATTGAATCCAATTACCAACCAATGCTCTTTTTTCTTGGATTGCATATAGTGGATGAAACACAACAATGATAGGCTTGGGTTTCTAGCTATCAGATCTGCTTCTAGCTATTTTGTTTCCCCCCACAATAATGTGGCATATTGCCTGTTTCAGTATTTTGGTGTCTCTTGTATAGACTGATACAGAAGCCAAGTGTTTCTTGTTTGAAACAACTTAGTTGATTAATTTATTTCTTAAGCAAAACCAACGTTTGCACACAAATCTTTCAACTATGTTATTGTTCTTGTTACCTCTCCTTTTTGTCTCTAATTAGTTCAGTATTTTTATGTTTTGCCTTCTTTTTATCATTGTTTATTTACTGGATCGGGGATGGTTTATTTTTTATCTTTTTTTGATAAGTTGTGATCCAGGATGGTTTCTGCTCAGTTTTATTTTTATTTTGCAATATAAGTAACCCTATTGACAAAGGAAAGGACTACCCCGTATACTAGGGGTATCATAAAGTTCGAAATAGTTTCCGTCTACTTGAATAGTTATTGGTTTGAACTTCATGAGTTAGCTGACTGTTTTCCTGAAATTTGTACTCCCCAGCCCCGTGGTATATCAAAGTTACCCTGGATTGGCCCTCTACCTGGGGACATTGCTGAGATAGAGGCATATTGTAGAATCCTTCGAGCTGCCGAACAACTTCATAACACGTTAATGGACACACTATGCAATCCAGTGACTGGAGAATGTTGTATCTCATATGATGTGCCCTCAGAAGATAAACATTTACTGGAGGACAAAATAGCTTCTGTTCTAGGATGCATGATATGTCTTCTAAACAAAGGGAGGGAGGATGTCCTATCAGGGAGATCCTTGATAATCAACACATGTAGTGATTTTGATGAGCATGAAATGGATGATAAGCTTCCTCCACTAGCTTTTTTCAGAGGTGAAATGAAGAGGTATTGTGAGAGCTTGCACGTTGCTCTTGAAAACTTTTTAACACCGGATGATCCTAGGAGCATTGCTGTATGGAGAAAGCTGCAAAGGCTGAAGAATTTATGTTATGATTCTGGATTTTCCCGCGGAGATGATCATCCCTGCCATGCATTGTTTGCTAACTGGGATCCTGTTCATTTTTCATCAGAAGAAGAGGCGGAGTCTGCAAGTTCTGAGGTTGCTTTTTGGAGAGGTGGCCAGGTAACTGAAGAAGGTCTTAGATGGCTGTTGGAGAGAGGGTTCAAAACTATTATAGATCTCAGAGCTGAGACTATAAAGGACAACTTCTATGAAAAAGTTCTGGATGAAGCCATTTTTTTTGGAGATATTGAAGTTCTTAAACTTCCTGTTGAAGTTGGCACAACACCTTCAGTGCATCAGGTTGAGAAGTTCGCAGCAATGGTCTCTGATGTATACAGAAAACCCATTTATCTCCACAGCAGGGAAGGAGTTTGGAGGACATCAGTTATGGTCTCTAAATGGAGACAATACATGACTCTTTACACACCAGACATTGTGCCCAATGCCTATAAGGATGTCCCCTCCAGTGGGAATCCATTGTGTGATAGTAGTGGAACGCAGGAGGTAGGCTCTCCACCTAACTCAGAAGAAAATGAAACTCTTACTTATGAAGGTGTTTCTGCGACTGATCATGAAAGGACACTACCTAGAAGATCAAACAACAGAACTTCTGCTGAGGAACTTCTTAGACAAATTCCTGAAGCTAGGGAGAACATTGAGGCTCCCAAATCTTCAGTTGATGCTAACATGGAGCTGATTGAAGGAAATATGTGCACGTCCTCAACTGGTGTGGTAAGAGTGCAGTCCAGAAAGAAGGCAGAATCTTCCTTGACCTTCACTGATCCTAGCACCCAGCAGCAGAAGCTTTCATGGAAATCCACGCCAAAGACCGTTCTCCTTCTAAAGAAGCTGGGACAAGAACTTTTGGAGGAAGCCAAAGAGGTGCTTACCAGTTATCATTAATTGATCTTGGACTCTGTTTGACTACTCTGTTAATGCTGGGTATGCTCTCCCTGTTTATTTTTCCTGAGGATGCATACAGTTATCAGTAGGTTAAATAGAGCTGCTAATTTACTCTTGCAAGGCTCACATTTGTGTTTACTACAATTGAAAGGAAGACCCTCAAATTTTCCTTGAGAGTAAGACATCTAATTTGGCTCATTTGAAATTTCTGAGCTACACAATCATCTTATCTTCTTTCTGAACTCTTACATATATATCTTGAAAAATCCAGGCTGAGAGATCAAATAGGCCTACTTGCTCCTGTTTATTCTTTATCAACAATTAGAATAAAAAGAATATGCTCGACATATGTTCCTTTGTCATACTAGCCCATCAGCATATACAAACACGTTACAGAACCTGCCGTTAATTTGTGAATGAACATTTAGTGACTGTCAATCATCTGTAATATGAGTTCATCTACTTTCTGTCCAATTTTGTATGCGCCAACCAAAATGAGAAAGGAATATATGGCCGTTAATTTTCTCTAATCATTTTGGATCTTCTTGTCCACTGATTTCATCCCTCCTACATGAATTTGAGTGTGTCATGCAAGTCACTTCTTAATTTTGCCCAATTGAATCTTGGTTAGCTTAAACCATGGAGATTTTCCTCCATTTGTTTCATTTTGAGAACATATAATTTCAACTTGTTGTGCATAGCTCTATGATTCATGTATGGAACTTATCTTTGAAGGTTCCATATTTCAGAAAAATATGCACTTCTAGCAGATCCACTATTTTCTTTTTCAGCATGCTTATACAGGGGAAACTATGTCCTTATTGTTCTTTATTACTTGGTTTTACATTTATTTTAGATAAGCATCTCAGGCAATTAGTTTACTATCTCATAGTTTTAACTCATTTGCTTTTCTATTTTCATTCTTCTTTGAAGGTTGCTTCTTTCTTGTATTACCAAGAGAAAATGAATGTTCTTGTTGAACCGGAGGTGCATGATATATTTGCTCAAATTCCAGGCTTCGGGTTTGTTCAGACCTTTTATAGTCAAGATACTAGGTGGGATGACTCATAAACTGTATTGCAGATAGCTTTTCTTTTTTCTTTTTTTTTTTGTCTCGGTTCACTTCTTTTACTTCACAAAAAGATGCTAACCTTGCCTGATGTACCTAATGCAGTGATCTTCATGAAAGGGTTGATTTTGTTGCCTGCCTAGGAGGAGATGGAGTTATACTCCATGCTTCAAAATTATTTCGAGGGGCAATCCCACCTGTTGTGTCATTTAATCTAGGATCCCTTGGATTTCTCACTTCCCATACAGTATGCTTCCTGACTGACAATGTTATGATTTAGTTATTAATTCACTTGGAAAGTCTCTCCTCTTACTTTTTCTTATTAATATATACAGTTCGAGGATTATAAGAAGGATCTAAGACAAGTCATTCATGGAAATGGAACTCTGGATGGTGTCTATATAACTCTGCGAATGCGTCTTCAATGTGAAATATTCAGAAATGGGAAAGCAATGCCTGGAAAGGTGTTTGATGTTCTAAATGAAGTTGTAGTTGATCGTGGTTCTAATCCATATCTCTCCAAAATTGAGTGTTATGAACATGACCGCCTCATTACAAAGGTGCATTTTTGTAAAGCACTCCCAGCCACCCCATTGCCCTTTCAGAAGAACAAAAGAATCCCACTTTTCATATTTCAGGCTTTATAGATCTTCCAAGACAACTTTTTTGTTCAACAAGCATCCACTTGATTAGGGAGCTAGAGAATATGGAGATACCTGACGCCAGTTTATGTTATTTGGCAGGTGCAAGCTGATGGGGTCATAGTAGCCACACCAACTGGAAGTACAGCTTATTCTACGGCTGCTGGAGGTTCCATGGTAACTATTATCTCTGAAAGATGTGAACCTTTTTAATTTACATGAATAAAATTGAGCATAGTGTAATGAGTGGTATCCAAAGCAAAGGTTGAGTTAAAGCTAAATTATAGAACTAGTGTAAGTTGTGAGGGGTTCACAGCTTGAGCAGTTTGTTGTGGCAATAATGAACTACTGAAAAAGAACCACAGAGAAGCAGTACACTACCCATTCCCTTCTCAAGAAGAAATAGGAGAAGAAGAGATAAGGGAAAGAAAGAAGACTGCATTATTCACTTAATAGTAAAGATATAGAAGCTTCATGACATATTTTAAGAGCTATTGGTAGAAGCAGTGATTCCTCTTGTCAATAGTTAAATCTTGATGTGGAAATGGGGGGATGCAACAGATACTGAAGTTGAAATAGATAAAAAGATCACTTTGAAGATGTGGGAGAAAGCTGCTAAGTTAGTTGCAGTTGGGCTCCTGAATAAAAACCTACTATTAATTTTTCTGGAAAAGGTTGAAAACCTATCATTGATTACCAAAAAAAACTGATGGCAAGCTTCTTTCTGTGGTTCTGTATTCAGTGGTATTGATGTTTATGGTTCTTAGCTCCTTACTTAATCTAATATTGATCAAGTGGTTTACTTCTTTCCACTTCCTATTTATTATTCATGATAAAGCAATAAATGCATAATCTTGTTTCAGGATCCTATTTATTATACTGATTGAGAATAGTGGAGATCATAAAATTATTTCATAAAATGTCACTCTTAGTGTCAATGTGTGCAATAAGTCCGTAACTTGCAGCACTCAATCACGTTGTCAGCAAGTATGAACTGTTTTTTGGCATCAAAAGAAAATTGGTGGAACTATGTTAAACAAATGAGTTTTCAGTGTACTGCTAAGAAATTTTAGCTTTGTGAAGACTTCCCTCTGATTCTTTCATTCCACTCACTCAATCTTGAAATTGCATCTTGTAGTAAATGGTTTTGCTATAGATTAATTTGTAAATTTTGGAAGTTGTATGTTTATCGTTCATTTAATTGATGATGAAGCATCCTTCAAAACTGTGCTCCTTCTGGTCAATGTAGTTGATTGTTTCGTCTTGACCAAGTGGTTGCTAGAATAGAATATCAGTATATCACAAGGAAATTTATGTCATGCAGGTGCACCCAAATGTTCCTTGCATGCTCTTCACACCAATCTGCCCACACACGCTCTCATCCAGACCTGTCATTTTCCCCGACTCTGCAAAGCTGGAATTAAAGGTGACTTTCTCAGTTAATATCTTAATAGTCATAAAATAAGTTATCTTAATTACTGGTGCTAGTAGCTTGATGTTCGTTTATACTTTCTGGGAAGTGATACTTAATGGACCTAATTTCTAACTATAACCCCATACTGAATACCTTAACTGAATTGGAAAGTATTAGAAAAAAAATTGGGAAGAATAATAACTGAAAAAAATATTTGAGAAGAATATAGGAGCATTGTTGTATCTTGGTCATTAGTGATCTCTTAACACAGGATCCCAGAGTTGTATGCTTTAGGAGGATGTCTTGAACTATGCGATAACCAATCCGTGGAAGTGGGATGATGATTCTTTATTCATCTTTTACTTGTCAATGTCTTTTGTTTGTCTCCTGGTCATTGGTTCAATGACTAAGGTAGAAACATGGACCGTGTTCTAGCCGCTTGTCACGAGTTTGAATCCTTACTAGTGAACCTAGTGGGGGTATTTAAGCAAGAAAGAGTTGAAGGATGGACCCATTGAAAGAAAAAAAATGGATTGATCAGTTGTGCAAAAATAGACAACTTATTTTAAGGATGGCATTCGTTGGTTTCAAAAGAATGAATGATGAGGAATAGTAAAAGAGGAAGCAAACTAGAAGTAGACAGATGTCATGCAGGTGCACCCAAATGTTCCATCATACAGAGTTTGTTATGATGGAACAGTCTGTTTTTTAAATCAAGGTTGGATGTAGACACTAAGTCCGTTTCTGAAAGCACAATGATTTGATGATGACATTCTGATAATGCTTGTCCAACTGTAGTTGGTATACAGATACCAGAGAAAAAAAGACAACTGCTCACATACATAATATACACAATGGAGAAACTCTTTGGGGCTTGAGGTTCAGAAGAACCCTACAAAACTTATATAAATGGATATCTCACAAATGGACCAAGATACAGTGAGATGGAAAGAAAAAAATAATGGTGCTTGTTTGATACAATCGTTTAGGAGAAAGGTGCATTTCCATATTCTTAACTTTGAATTTTATAACTTTGACAATAAAAATCTTTTTCACTTGGCAAGTAACTAAGGGGCTATTCTTACAGCTGCAATTTGATAAAGAATACAACATATGTTAGGTGGTGTTACGTGTGTAAATGTTGGACCACCTATGCTTGCTTTGGAAAGTAGAGAGCCAGTTAAGGTGGATTATGGTGGATAATGCAGAATTTGTCTGCATACAGTGAGAAAAGTCTGCCACAATAATGACTTTAGCTTTATCAAAAAACAGTCTGCCACAATAATGCCACTATTTGTTCAGCTAGACTTTCACAATGATGAAAAGAAGAGACAGGGTATTGAATGTACCATCATTGGAGCTTATGTAAGTAGTTTGGACAGAGAAATAGAATAGTTTTGAAGGGATAGAATATACTTTAGTACAAATGAGGAGTTAAGGACTAGTCTTCTACATGCCACTCGATGTCTATTGTAGAGAACCATATTCTTGTATAGGTTCTTTACCTGTACAATGGGATTCTCTCATAACATCTACAATTTTTTTCTTCTTCTAGAATGTGTGTCCTTTCTTCTGCTGCTTCTTATCTTGGACTTCTCGTCTACTCCGTGGGGAAGTTGTTAATACAATTAAATATTATATTGAATGTTGCTAGTTAATTCATTTTTATGGCTGATTTATCAAAATCAGAAGTTGAAAATCAGTTTTATGATATGAGTAATTTCTTATTCCTGTTGAAATTACATTTCAATGATGTTCAATTTGAGTTTTTTTATTATTATTGTCAATAATGTATGATGGATGTTGAAATTAGTAATTTCAATTGCAATATAATGTTTTATGTTGTACTTTGTTTGTGCTAGATATTTTAAGTAATTCATTAATTGAGCGCTTCACTTTGAGGAAGTGTGTGCTTTGCTTGCCAGTTTTCACTTAAAGCCCCATAGGTGCTGTCTCTTTTTGCATTTTTTTCTGTAGAAACACATCTTCCAGTTCACATATCTGAAGCACCATATGCAACTACTAATACTTTGAGACTGAAAAGACAAACAGAAGCTACAACCTCACCCTTTATTTCTTTAAATGCTTCTGAATATGTGCTTGATTTTAATAGGTCATGTTAGAATATGTACTAGTCAATATTCTTAAATGGAGATTGACATGATTCCTGAGTTACTTTAAGTTTCTTAGGATGCTTTAATTTTTTGTCCAAATGGAGTACTATTGGTGCAAAAACCTGTATACAACTATCTTATTTGACAATCGGCACCCTGATGAATGTTCATGTCCAATTTATTGATGCACACTGTTATATCTTGTTTGACAATTGACTCCTTGATGAATGCATCTCTTGATGTCACACCATGAAATCTCCGTGATTTCAGCGAGTTGTGTCTAGTAGGAATCCTAGTCCCAACTGCTTCTTTCTGAACTGTTTGTTCTGTTCTGGATGCCATTTCATACTATTTGGTTAGAAGCTCAACTTATTTGCATGTAAACAGATTCCAGAGGATGCACGTGACAATGCTTGGGTCTCCTTTGATGGGAAGAGACGACAAGAACTGTTGAGAGGAGATTCTGTTCGAATATGTGTGAGCCCTCATCCGCTTCCTACAGTCAATAAGTATGACCAAACAGGTGATTGGTTCTCTAGCTTGACCCGTTGCCTGAATTGGAACCAAAGACTAGAACAGAAAGCACTCTGAAGCTAACTTGAACTATCCTTTTTTGGTAACACTGTTAATATTACCATAGACAACTTGAACTATTCATCCCCACATTTATGTAAAAAAAAAAATTGTATAGTCATATAAGAACAACTGGATTACAGAATATCCACTTAACAGAGTAGAAAATTCATTTTTTTTCCCCATTTTCCTGTTGTTATAGCATTGATGAGCTATTTTAGATTGAGCAGATAATGCCTTACTGCATTATGCAATATTTCATTGAGAAGTTATCTTCTATTATTACATCGTACTTTTTTCTTGAGGCTCTTTTTATTGAATGGAAATGTTGATTCATCCTGTCAAAAGAGTGAACCCCTATAACCTCATCAATCAGTATTATAGGGGTGGGCATGTTACGGTATTAAAAATTTCCGTCAATAGTTTTGGTTTTCAATTTTTAAAATATTATCTACTAGAAACAAAGGTTTGTCCCACCGTGAATCAGTGGGAAATTTGTGCTATAGAACATGATTTTCCTACTCATTTTTCCAACCGGCACACTGGAAAAAAAAAACATGGTGAAAAATAGATTTAGCCTATAACACTGCGAAGCTTCCTATTTTTTCCATATGAGCAATTACTTATCTTTTTCTTTTCATATTGATTCAATAAAAATGTTTGTGAGAATAGTCGTGGAATAGTTTTTAGTGGAAAACTAGTGATGTTTAAATAGTGTATACTATTACTATACCAAATTAATTTACAGAGTTGATATTTTTAATTCGATTTTAATATTTTGCAGTACGTTTCAACTGTCTTATATATAATCATATCATTGAGAATTATGACTTCAGTTTTTCAAAAAACTTTTCAATTATATACTAACACCTTAAATATATAGAAATACTCAAAAAAAAAAGTACAAGTAATTTTCTTCGTTAATCAATTACACAAAAAAAAAGATATTTCAATTACGATAGGATAATTCAAGTTTCATGTCTAAATAATTAATTTTATACTAATACTAATTTGTAAATTTGTTGGTATCATAATAATAATAATAATAATAATAATATGAATGGTATTCGATATTTTAACATTTTTTCTTTTATAAATATTGAATATCATAAAAAAAACGAAAAAATATGCATGCTATTATCATACTATCAAAATCATGGTATCAAAATTTTTAATTTAAATATGACCATTGTCTACTTTACCATATGAGGAAGTTAATGGACATAACCTCATCAATCAGTATTGTTCAAGAATCAACATGACATTAATGTCTATAGAGTATGATTTGTACAAAAAGTATAATTAAGGACCTAATATGTGGGGTTATATATATGTGAATTCATATATACATATATTAACACAACCAAAATATTATGTCATTGTTGATACTATATTATTAAGACAAATCATAGTTAATTTAATGAAGTTACTATCACATTACTTTAAGGGTGGACTTTTGATGAAGTTACTATCATCACAAGTCTCTGACTTTTAACGGTTAACTATTGAAGTTGACCTTATCTCCATTGACTTCTGATTTCCTAGTTAATTATTCGGTTCGATTTATTTTAATTATCGTGCTTTCTGAAAATAACTAATTTAAAATAATTATTTGTTTAGAAAATGAAGATATAGTAATTAACTATTAGTTTTCATCTTTAGCTTACTCCATGAATAAAAAAGATTAATATAGTGAAAAAGAGAGTACTATTAAAATGTGATCAAAGAATAAATAAGAATGATTTAGTTAAATTGCATTTTAGTTAATGTTTCGTAAAGGACGTACAAAAAGAAAATTAACTTGTCATGGTGAAAAATCTTAATAGCCCAATCAATTTCAAACGTGAACTGTCATCTTATTGGTGACGATTTAACTACCTTGTAATTCCCTTTCCTATTTTCCTATTTTCCTATTTCCCTACCCTCAATTCTTTCTTTTTTCAAAAAAATTGAGATAAGAAAGTATATTTGTTAATTATAGTTAGGTGGTTGAAGTTCATGTGAAAACATGTGGTATGGATTTAATGATTTATTAATAAACTAGTCGGTGAATTTAAGACTATCGTAGAATTGATTGTCATTCCTCATCCTCCCACTTATACGCAATATAGCTTAATTTAAGAGGCAAACAATAATGTATTTAAAATATATACCATAATATTATGTGAAATGAATAAAAATGTCCTTCGTTTATAGTTTGGGTATATTCTTATCGCAATATTTTTGGTTCAAAAATATCCTTGCAGTCAATTTTTTGGTCCTAAAATGTCCATATAGTTACTAAATGGGTCAACAATGCCCTTTTCCAAATAAATATATTACTCCCTCCGTTTCAAAACAAGTGATCTAGTTTGACTTGACACGAAGTTTAAGAAAATAAAGAAGACTTTTGAATCTTGTGGTCCTAAATTAAAGTTATGTCAAATGTACAAAATTGCTCTTTAATCTTGTAGTCTTAAACATGTCATGTGAAAAATTGAAATTTAAATGTTACCAAAAAAAGAAAGAGACTAAAAAGGAAAGTAGGTCATTCTTTTTTAAACAGAGAGAGTATTTTCTTTTCTTTTTAAATGCGTCTTCTTCCTAATTAAAATATTATTAAAGGACCCTATTCTTGTTTTCTTTCTTTTAAAATCACTTTAACAAAGAAAAATGTAGGAAATAAATTTTTTTCCTACTTAATCTCGTTTTATTAATTAAAATAGAATAATTTCATGTACCCTTTCGACGAATAATATATGTCATATATATAAGATCACAGTATATAATCATTAATTTTATTTATATAACGATAAAAATAAGAAATAGTTTTATTTTTTATTTTTTTCTAAATTGAAGTAGGATAAATGTTTGCTAATTTTTAAAAAATATTATTAGAAAAAGAATGTGTTAAAAAGAAAATAAATATGTAATGAGCATTTTTGACCCATTAAATAACAATAAGTGCATTTTTTAACCAAAGTATTGACGTTGAAAAAGATATTTTTGGACCAAACCATAAATAAATGACATTTTTATTCATTTCACATAATTTAAGGGAATTTTTAACCCTTTTCGGCTTTTCCCATTCAGAATTTAAGTTATTTCCTTGCTACTACAAGATGGATAAACAAATACAAAGGAAGGTACCTAAGTCGTATAAGTTTGATATAACTAGTTAGACTAACTAGCTACATATTAGGTAAGACTAATAGTCGAATAAAAACATACTTGCACAAGCATTCTCCAATACGCTACAATATAGTTTTGTATCAAGGATCGGACTTCTTAATAAAAATAAGGCAAAATGGTCTGATGAACCTTTGTACTTGTATGAGTTTGTATTGTAGACTCTTCTACTTAATCTTTTGTCAACTGAACTCTTAAACTCAATTAAAATGAGATTTTTAAACCATTTGACCGTTGATCAAGTTATGTGACATTTATCTTGCTGACTCAATTATAGTGCATGGTATCACACTTAAAAGGCGAGTGAAAGCAATTAATTAGCTTTAAAAATAATTAAATAATAAAAAAAAGGAAAAAACAAATTAAGGTTCCCAACCCCTCCATTTTCTTCTCCCTTTGCCCCCGTGTTCTGAGAAAACGACATAGATCTCGACGGCCCTTGCGACGGCGTTTTCATCTGCATCTCCGCCCATTCTGTCCATTGAACCTCCGTTAATGATTAGGTGTTTTGGTGAGTTATAGCAGTGTCAATGAGAGTTTCAGATGTTGAACAAGAAGGTTGATTTTGCTCCGGTGGTTATGGGTCTTCTATGGTGGTTATGTGATGATTTTTCTTCGGCGGCGATTTTGCTCCGATGGCTTGCTTCGCCCATTCTATCCATAGATTTCTTTCTTCTGTGTTGAGATCTGGGTTTGATTGTGCGGTGGTCTTATTGTTCGAGCCTTAAAAATCTACCATAAAATTCAACATTAAGAAAACGTTGTCTGCTCATATTAGTTTTGAGATCTGCATTTGACTTGTGCTCTCTGAGCTTCATACTCATTTTTCAAAGAAGAAAAAAATTAGGAGAAGGGAGATTGTTTTGTTAGTCTATATAGCACCATAACAATTTAAGAGTGTTAAACTAAGTTGTAGAAGTGGAATCTGTTGAATTTGTGTAGCTTAAGCATTTTAGGCTGAAACTATCAATGAAAAAAATTCTGATTTTTGTATGTTGTATTTACTCAGTAGCAGCTTGCCCAAATTATCAATTGAAATTGAAGTTAAAGGAAGAAGGAAAGTGATTCTATGGGATAATAGTTGTGTCTCACTAGATAATTTAAGAGATCAATTTTGGGTTTCCATTTTTTGTCTCTGCGTTTGGTGGTTGAGTCAGGTGGAGGAAAATTTTGGTGGTTGTGGGTTGAGGGAGGTGGAGGAAAAGTGAGAGAAGTAACTATTTTATTTTATTTTTAAAATAGAAAACTTGTTATTTTAATCTTTTATTTAATAATTTAAAAATAGTTATGAAATAATTATGACATGGCATTAATATATATGATGTGGATATGACATGTCATTTATGTTAGAGAGAGTGAACTACACACATGGTTGGAGGGGTTCAAAAGTTTCATTTTAATTGAGTTTAAGAGTGTAGTAGGCAAATGATTAAGTAGAAGGGTCTAGAATACAATCTCATACAAGTACAAGGGTCCATTGGACCATTTCGCCTAAAAATAATAAACTCTCATCCTTTATTCGGGCTTGAGACCGGTTGTGTTACATTACAAACAAAACACATGCAGAGTTAAAAAACTTCTTTTTGGTATGGATCAGCATGACCTATCATCACTTTACGGTCATAGACAAGTCACCTTCTTAGCACAATCACGACACCTTGAACAGTTGAATTAACGATTGAAGAATATTTTGATTATTTTCTTTAGAATCTTAGATATTCCATAGCAAGCATTGGATTAGGCTAGACCAACTGAGATGTGTCAACTCTCTATTTTCAGAATGTGTGACGGGAGAAGAGAATCTAGTCTAATGAAGGGTACTACACGAGTATATTACTACTATCACAAATTAGGTATGACTTAACCCCAGTTGAGAGTGAGCGTGGATGTTTTGAAAAAGTCATTCAAATGCCTTAGTGTTTGACTTTCAGT